TTCTGAAGACAGGCGTCTGTTTGTGGCTTTCCCTCCCTTGACATTCCTTGTGCAGTCATGGAGGTGATGGGCCAGTCAATTGTATTCCTCATTGATGTTGCCAACGAAGCATCTTCCCACGTTGCCAAAATAGTACCAAAGAGCTCCCAGTTGGTGGTCATTCTGGGAGTTCTCTTCTTAAACTTTGCAGCCCTCTCTCCCCGCTCTGTGAAGTAGAATTCTGCACAAAGGAGATGGTGGTCTGACCCTGTTTGGAATTTTGAGACAACAGTGACATTGGTCAGGCAAAACCATCAATTGAATATGATGTGGTTAATTTCATTGTGGAACTGTCCACTGGGAGACTCCCATGTCCAACATTTGGCCTTCTGGAACTGTGAGTTACCATGGATAGTCTTGGTCGACATGATGAACTCAGACAGTCTCTCACCCTGTTCGTTCCATTCTAGGCTATGGGTCCCGGTGTGGAGTTCTTCGGACAACCTTCTTGGTCCTATCTTGGCATTAAAATCACCGACAATGATCTTGTCGAAGGTGTGGTCTTCTTTATAGAACTTCTCCAGCTCCATGCAGAACTTCTCGATTTTTTCTTCATCATAGTTGGATGTTGGTGTACAGACGATGAAGACAGAAACTGCCAGCAGTGAGCCACATCTATTCAAGCATAATCGTCCAATGTGGGTTGTTAGGCATTCAAATGAATCATGCTCATGCCCAAGTTCGTGTTGACAAGGACACCAACACCACCAACGCCTCTATTGTAGCATGTTCTGAGGAACAGTTCTTCAGTGTCGAAAATGGCATTATGTGATCGATGCTGTATCATCTTGGTCAGACCAATGATGTTGTACTTGATCTTCTGCGCTTGCACCATCAGGTACTTGATGGATGCTTCTGGTGCCAGCATACATGCATTGAAAGTACAGAGAGTCATTGTAGTCCTTCATTTTGGCAGCCTAGTTTGGCCCTGAGATTTTATCAGCCTCTCCTTGCTCATCCTTCTTAACCTGCCCTACTGGGGGCTCTTTCATGGTCAGGGAAATGAGACCCATTGTTTTTACTGTTTTTGGCATATCAAATGCGCCCTGAGTAGCTTTCCAGGCTCTGCCGTGCACGCGGGATACTCTTAGTAGCTTGCTGGGTTCTCTGAGAGGGATGGAGGCTCTTAGGGTGGCCTCTAATCGCCCTTACAGGTGTTCCCATGGTTCACACCATATTTGAATCCCATCAAATTTGGTGCAGTAATTATGGAAAATGGGTAGGAGCTGTATTATGCTGTTCGTGGCCACGCGGGCCAGAAAATGGCCCGGAGCATGGCGGCTGGGTAGTGGAGATGGACAATGAGGTATTTATCTGGCACCGACAGGGTGGATCTTCTGGGTGTGGTCCCCGGGTCATTGAAGATTGGTGGAAGTAGGCAGAGGATCTCTGTTTCCAGTCCAGTTGAGCCTGGAGTCCAAGGTCACAAAGTTCTGCTTTACCTGGTTCTGTGGGGCTTCACTCATGCCTAAGGCTCAGCCTGAGCAGTCTGGAAAGCAGCCTGGAGCTATACACTATAAATTTGATAAGTACATATATAGGTTTTAAGAAAGCTTCTTTGTGATAATGAAATAATTCTATATTCTGATTGCGATACTGGCTATATGAATCTGTAGCACTGCACTGTAGCACTGTCCTCCCATTGTTCATCAATTTGCTTGAGCAGACACCAGTAATGTCTCTATTGTGAGACTTTCTGTTACTGTTTTTGGCATATTGAATAAGCCATGGGGAGCTTCCCAGGCTCTGTTGTGCTGGTGGGATACTCGCGGTAGCTTGCCGGCTCTTCAAGAGGGAGAGAGGAATTGCACCAGAGTCGGCTGCGTACAAGGCTGTGATAGCCCTACCTGCTGTGCTATCACTCCAGCCCATGAATCTATACATGTGATAAATTTCTTATACCACCACATCTTCCCCCCACCCTCAAGAAAATATTAATAAATGCTGAAATACAAATAAAATATGTACTCCAGTTTGTAAGAGTTATCAACATCATTTTCCTAGTTTTATCAATGTACTATGATTTATGTTAGATATTATCATTGGAAAAGCTTAGTGGAAGACATTTGGTACCCATACTATTTTATAATAGTTCCTTGACTCTTTCCTACACCAAAACAAGTACTCATGGGTCTAGAGAAGAGACAAGATAGCAAAGCGAGGGACCAGCTAATGCAAAATTTAGAACAGAGGTTGTGTCTAGGGTTGTACAGGCCAATATAATGGCAACTTAAAATTAACTTTCATAGCCTGAGTTATTTCTTCAGCCTCCTAAACAAGCTACTTCTTGACCTTGATGAAAATTGTGGATTTTTTAAGTAATCTTCCTTGAAATTGTGTTTTTATACTCCCTGGAATACATATGGCAAAAATAAAAGAAATTAAAATATTTGGTTTTGCAGATAATATGACAAAAGTAACATTGACAACCTTGATATACCAAGCAAGTCAAATTTCCTATAAGCAACAAATATATAAAATTGTATGATGTAAAATCAATGTACAAATGATAATTCTGATTTTTATTGCTAAAAGAGAGAAAATAGTTGCAGCCATGATCAGATCCCAAAAGTATGAAATTAACTTATTTGAGGTTTAAGATTCATAAAGAAAATTAGGAAATTCTACTGCCATAAAAAACCCTAAAAGGAACTAGTTGTTAAACAGAAAAGAAGAGGAAAGATTACTCCTTATGTAATCTGAACCAAGTACCACAATTAACAATATTCTCTCAACACCTTTCTCTCTCTCTCACTCTCCCTCCCCTGATGTTTGAGGATTAGGCTACACCTATAAACAATTAAAGATATTTGAAGTGAAACAGCTAATCAGACAATCTTACCTTAAATTATATAGTGCTCAAATGAACTTCAGCACAGCCCAGCATTTTATTTCCCTACTCAGTTTACTGGCTTCCTTTCCCAGATAACTATTTCATATGTCCTCTTCTGTCCTCTACCTCCAACATCATTCTTCATTCAACCAAAGGCCTTCCTTGCCTCTTTCTTCACTGAGAAAAAAAACCCATGAGAATATTAAACTTTCTACTACCAACTGAAATGCCTACCTTTGTCTGTTTGTGTTCACTATGTTATCCTGCCTTCTCTCAACTATAATGGAAGAAGTATTCTTACTCTTATAATAATTCGTTTAACTTCACTATTTGTTCCAGGTTCTTTTCTATGCCAAATATGAAAAAACTACACTCATTCCTGCTATCCTACTTCATCAAATTGTTTTTTATACCTTCTGAAATACTGCCAGTCATGTGGAATAAAAGCATGCTAACGACTGTGATTACTGAAGATGGGAAGAGGGAGAGGAAGAAGAGAGGTAAGGAAGGAAGGAAGCAAGGAAAGAAGTTAGTTCTAACTACTTCCTTTCTTAACCACCCCTCTTTAGAAACAAACTCCTCCAGCGGATTAAAAATACACCCATTCTCCATCTCTAAGTTTTTCTTTAACTCACTCCAGTTAGGTTCAGATCTGTTTTAAAGAACCACTACTACCACTACCTTCTACACAGCAAATCCAGAAGGTTAGTTCTCAGTTTCCATTTACTTGATCCATTACCTGTCTAGCAGATTTTCAAATATCTGAGAATGTGATAACCAACCTATATTCTTGACACAGGGCTCTCGAGATACACTCCTTTTTCCCTTCCTACCTCAATGGCTGATCCTGCTCTAGATCTTTCTTGACTAGCTCACAGTTCTCCATGAAGTTGCTAAAATACACCAATGGCTCAGACATAAATCTTTTCTAATCTAGTCCTAGATTAGAAGAGGTACTGTCTCCTTTGTCCAGACTGATTCCAAGAGTTAAAAATAGTAAGCTAGACAAAAGAAGGGCCTTCCCTTACACCTACCATTTAGGGATGGTTATTTTTCAATCTTCTCCCGATCCTTCCAGTATTTTAAATATTACCTCCTTAGTAATCTACTCTATAATATTTTCACAGTTATTATTTTAAAATTGCAACAGGCATTTATGTAAATTAATATACTTGCATTATAAGTAAGTTTTTTTCCTTTTCTTATATTTATTTAATGAATCACTGTGGGAAAAGTTACAAAGCTTTCAGGTTTAAGTCTCGGTCATACAATGATCAAACACCTTTCCCTTCACCAGTACTCATTTTTCACCACCAAGAACCCCAATATACAGTCCTCCCACCCCTCCCAATTCCTGTGAGGCAGATGATTTCTACTTAATTTTCTCTCTATTTTGATTACATTCATTATTTCGATGAAAGATGCACCATTATTGTTTAGAATTTCCCACCAACAATCAGAATTGCTGAAAAGGCATTGTGAAATAATTTGTTTTCTATAGCTGGTTATGAGAACCATATGACGTCACAGCAGCGCAATTTTGGATTTCTGCAAAGAGCCAGATAATTGTGAAATTGATTTCTATGCATCTGGTGTTATGGCCATGCCGGAGAGCCGCTCGTGAGGGCAACTCATGATCTCGGTAGTGGGTGAAAGATGAGCCAGTACCACCCCCCTTCCCATGAGACTGCAGTTGCCCCGTCACTGCCGGATACCTGGCTTTCCAATAAGCCAAGTTTTTTTTTGGGGGGGGGGGGTCACACCTGGCGATGCTCAGGGGCTATTCCTGGCTCTGCACTCAGGAATTACTCCTAGCAGTGCTTGGGGGCCATGTGGGATGCTGGGAATCGAACCTGGCTTGGCCACATTCAAGGCAAACACCCTACCCACTGTGCTATTGCTACAGCCCTCACATTATAAGTAAGTTATAAAGTCTACACTTCAAGCTAACCAACTTCATGAAAACTCTTTTCAGAGTAGATGCCTTTCGATTTTAACTACATGATCATTTACTAGCCCTTTGCTCTATCTCTTTGTTCTTCCAGAATAACCTATTTCATTTATAGTTCAAGGTAGAATCTATCTCTTCTCATAATTTGTCCACTGTCTTTTTTTTTTCTTTCTTAGCCAGGGGAGAGTATGAATGCAGTCACTCCCACCACCACAAATTATGTAGTCAAGTTTCCCACATTTGGGGAAATCAAATAACTCAGCATATCTGCAGTGCAATGGATAAACCTTGCCCTGAGAAAACCAGCTTCGTGACCATGGTGTTTCCCCTGCCAGGTAAGTATGCCCACTGTCTTTAAGGTAAGACCTGCTAGTAAGGGGGTAAGGCTCTTGCCTTGCACAGAGCCCACCAGCTTCAATTTCAGGTACTGCATATAGTACTCCAAGTGAAGTCAGGAGAGAGCCCTAAACACCACTAGGTGTGGCCCCAAAATAAAACAAAAGAATAAACATGTAAGACCTACTTCTCAATGGTCAGATCCATTTATCTCTAAATGCAAAATAATCTGTCATTATAAAGGTTCGCAGGAAGCCTCTTAGTGACTTCTGCACAGTCACTTAATAAACTCTATCTTCTTGCATTAGCTTAGTTTCACTTGAACTGAACTTTGCAGCATGGTAATACAATTTCTAATTACTCTCAAGCCAATGGCTAAATATTTCAGTTAGTTGATACAATTCACTTAAATATTTTTAAAAATTTTTATTAGTGAAACACCATGAGGTACAGTTGTAGACTTACAAATTTTTGTGCTTGGGTTTCAATTATACAATGATCAAGTATCCATCCCTCCACCAGTGCCCATTTCCCACCACTACCGACCCCAGTATCCCTCCCATCCCCCGTCTCCCTCACCCAACCCTGTCTCTGTGGCAGGGCATTTCCTTTTGTTCTCTCTCTCCTTTAGGGTGCTGTGGTTTGCACTGAGTGGCAATCATGTTCGGTCTATAGTCTACTTTCAGCATGCATCTCCCATCCTGGGAGGATCCTCCCAACACCTTTATTTGGTACTCCCTTCTCTATCTGAGCTGCCTTTTCCCCTAGAATGTGCGGCTCGCCTCCAAGCCATGGAGTGAACCTCCTGGTACTTATCTCGGCTATTCTTGGGTGTTAGTCTCCTATTTTGTTACTTTATGTTCCCCAGATGAATGCAATCTTTCTATGTCTGTCCCTCTCTTTCTGACTCATTTCACTTAGCATGATACTTTCCATGTAGTACCACTTGTATGCAAATTTCATGACTTCATCCTTTCTAACAGCTACATAGTACTCCATTGTGTAGGTGTACCAAAGTTTCTTTAACCACTCATCTGTTCTCGGGCACTCAGGTTTTTTCCAGCGGCTAATGTAAACAGTGCTGCAATGAACAAACAAGTGCAGATGTCACTTCGACTATACTTTTTTGCCTCTCTGGGATATATTATCATGAGTGGTATTGGTGGGTCAAATGGGAGCTCAATTTCTAATTTTTTGAGAATCGTCCATACTGTTTTCCAAACGGGCTGAACCAGTTGGCATTACCACCAGCAGTGAAGGAAGGTCCCTTTCTCGCCACATCCGCGCCAACACCACGAAATTGAAGTATCAACAACACTTCCGAAAAGTTTCTATGAAGCAAATATCACCCTGATACCAAAAGCAGACAGAGATACCACAAAGAAAGAGAATTACAGGCCGATATCCCTGATGAAAACAGACACAAAGATAGTCAACAAACTATTAGCAAATAGAATCCAACAATTCATCAAAAAGATCATACACCATGACCAAGTGGGATTCATCCTGGGGAAGCAAGGATAATTTAACATTCGGATATCAATCAACATAATCCATCATATCAACAAAAGAAAAGATAAAAACTATAGGATCATACCAATAGATGCAGAAAAAGCATTTGACAAGATCCAGCACCCATTTATGATGAAAACCCTTGCCAAAATGTGTATAGAGGAGACCTTCCTCAATATAGTTAAAGCCATCTACCACAAGCCTACAGCAAGCATCATCCTCAATGGGGGAAAAACTGAGAGCCTTGCCTCCAAGATCAGGGACGAGACAAGGATGCCCACTCTCTCTCCACTGCTGTTCAATATAGCACTGGAAGTACTTGCAGTAGTGGTTAGGCAAGAAAAAGATATTAAGGGGATTCAGGTAGGAAAGGAAGAAATCAAGCTCTCACTATTCGCAGATGATAAGATACTATAGAGAATCTTAAAATCTCTACCAAGAAATAATACACTTATATAAGTAAAGTTGCAGGCTATAAAATCAATACCCAAAAGTCCATGGCTTTCCTATATGCAAATAGTGAGAGAGAAGAAAGTGACATGAAAAAAATAATCCCGTTCACAATTCACTTATATTAATAGCATGTTGACAAGCAACATGCTCTCATTCATACTTATTATATAAGGAAACAAATAAGGAAATGAATAGTATCCAATAATAACAAGTCTTTTGACTCTGACCACAGAACTGGGGATATTGGGATGGGAACTCTTGGAAGGAAGAGGTGTATTACAATGGCATAATGATAGTGGTGGAAGGTGTTTGACACTTTGGTGGTGTTTGTACATCTGTAACTTTGTATATCATAAACATTAACACTATGGGTAAAGAATTTGCCTCTCAAACAATTAAAAAATTGATTTTTGAAAGTAAAATGAAGCCTGGGAGCATTACAGAGAAATTAATTGCATTACTTGACTCATTTGAACTAGGCCAATGACCTTCGTCTTGCTTTATATTTTATTTTATTTTATTTTATTTTATTTTTTGTCTTTTTGGGTCAGACCCAGTGATGCTCTGGGTTACCCCTGGCTTTGTACTTGGGAATTACTCCTGGTGATGCTCAGGGGACCATAGAGGGTGCCAGGGATTGAACCCAGGTCAGCCACGTGCAAGGCAAATGCCTTACCCACTGTACTACCACTCTGGCCCCTTGATTTATTTTAAATCCCCACCCACTGACTTTTAAAAATCCCTTCTCCTTCGCTTTATCATCATTGTTATGTTGTTCTTAGGATGACCCTAGTGACACACATGCCTGGCTGTGAAGCTTGCAACTTCTAGCTGTGGTGGTCATTGGAAGGATCACACACACACAACTCATGTGACTGCACACACAGCTGAGTCACCATGTTCTGCATCCTGTTAGTTGTGGTGCTGGCACACAGATTTATCAAGTATTGTGATCTTCAACTGAGAACTTATGAAAATTTGGTAAGAAAAGCTGGAGTCTATAGTATGTGAGCCTCCATCCCCCTTTCCAGATCAGCTGAGTGATTCCACTCCAGCCTGTTACAGGTGAGAACACAAGGCTCCCTGCTAGAGGACTTTCTCCCTTCCTCAGTTCCCTGTGAGAATTTTTTCCTTTAGAAGAAGGATTTCTAAACTCTGGATCTCCTCACAGCTACCTGCTGCTGAAGAAGCCAAGTTTGGGAAAGTGCATGGGAGGTAAAAACTCTTTTCTTGTACCTATCCTCTACTCATGGAATGAAGGCTCTGCCTTGGACCCAGTGTACTGAGAATACTGGAACCCCAACAGTATTTTTTCCATCTGTGAGGCAGTGGTTCATGGCTGCCAGGGAAGGCAATCTTGGAAGACCTCAAGCTATTTCTACCATTTCAACCTGCTGCTTTAAGCTCCAAAAGTGAAGACGTCACTCAGAGAAACTTTTTTTTCTCATTCAAAAATTCCGAACACTGTCTCCAGAGGGCTGAATGACAGTACAGTGGTTAGGGCATTTGCCTGGCACACAGCCAACCTGGTTTCGATCCCCCATCCTTTTGGTTCCCTGAGCACTGCCTTGAGTAATTCCTGAGTACAGAGACAGGAGTAACCCCTGGGCATCACCAGATGTGACCCTCCCATCCCCCAGACCTCCCCAAATAAAGTAAAAAAACTTTTTCCCAGGGATTAAAATTATAGCACAGTGGGTAGGGCGTTTGCCTTGCATGTAGCCAACCTGGGTTTGTTTCCTCCATCCCTCTCGGAGAGCCTGGCAAGCTACCGAGAGTATCCCGCCCACATGGCAGAGCCTGGCAAGCTACCCATGGCACATTCAATATGCCAAAAACAGTAACAAGTCTCACAATGGACATAGTACACTGGTGCCCACTCGAGCAAATCGATAAACAACAGGAAAACAGTGCTGTTGTACTACACTGTACTACACTGTTTACAGTACTACAGTAAAAAAAGAACCTCCTAATTTCTCCCCAAAGAAGATATTTCAATTGCAGCAAGGCAGTTTAAAGCTAAGAGCCCTTTCAAAAGAGTGATGGTAATGCAAACAAGAAGATTTCTGAATCTAACAGACAAGAGACTGTATCTGACCAAGAGGAACCAAGGGGTTATTTACTTGGGGTCAGAGCAAATAACAAGCCTCGTAGGAGTCACCATTTAATTAGATATGCCAAAGAATTTATGACCTAGAGCACTGCTGTAAACGACAGAGCAGTCAGTCAACTAGTGGAGCTAATACCTTGATCTGTCATCAGGAAAAATGAAAAAGGGAACCCAACCAGCACCACTATCCTTGAGAATAACAGTGGGCAAGCCCGAAGCTGCACCATCCGACAACAACCTTAACAAAGACTTTACTCCACTTAAGGTGGACTTTACTCCACTTACTTTACTCCACTGAAAGACTTTACTCCACTTAAAGACAAATAATCAGGCAAAGAGTAATAAGCCCTAGAAAGGGGCAATGGTATACTTATAATTGTTAATTATGATATCTATTATGTCAAGTTTCCAACAACAACAAAGAAGACTACAAACAAAAAATGAAAGTGTAAGTCTTACATGGAAAAAAATAAAGCAGCTGATAGAACCTGTGACTAGATAATGAATTTCATAGAAAAAGACTTCAAAATAAAAATGGTCATGAGACCAAAGGAAAATCTAGTTAAAGGGAAATGTGATAACTATGTTATATCAAATAAAGAATACAAATAAAAGAAAATCTACAGTCAAATTGAAATTCTGGATACGGAAAAAATATTAACTGAAAGAAAAATGTAGGATACAGAAAGTGTCTTAGGCTTCAGAAAAGATCCTAAAAGATTAAAGTGTGCTTTTAAGACAAAACTCACACTATATCTACTTCCAATGTATTTTTAAGACAAAATTTTCTATAAATTCTGTCATATAATTTAGTCATAAAATTCATCATTTTAAAGGTAATAGTAAACTTTAACAGATTATTAGCATTTCCTTATAAGCAGTGATATAATTCTCAAATATTTAATAATAATATAAAAATCTTACTGGTCTGACGTCACCACAGGAATTGGTAAACTGTCGTGCCAAGCCAAAATCAAGCATGTAACATTTCCTACATGTACTAGGAAAGCGACCCATGGCAAAGTTTGACTAGAAAATTAAAGGAGGAAAATATGCATAATTAATATTTAATTCTTACATCTTATCCTTCCTATATAATACTATTTCTACTTTATATATATAACACGTAAGTTCTAATATACTAGTCACTGATGCTTTTTGGATATTAATAAACAATTGTGTTTTTTGTTAAGGACTAGAACCAGGTATACTCTGAATGAAAATTTAAGCAATTGTGTCAAGTTACTATAACACTGACTTAAAAGGAATCTTTTAAATTCTTAAAAAGAAATCCTTAAGTTCTATTTTAAATAATTAAAACAAAAATTAAACAACAATCTAACCCCTACTTCTTAATTAGGAGAAACGATGAATAAGCAAAATCAAATGGAAATTAACATTCAGGAGCCAGAGATATAGTCAAGTGGGTAAGGTGCTTGCCCTGCATGCAGGTGACCTGGGCTCAATCCCTGGGACCCGATAACGGTACTCTAAGCCCCATTAAAAGTGATCCCTAAGCACAGAGGCAGAAATAAGCCCTGAGAATTGTCAAGTGTGGCGCAAAAACCAAAAAAGAAATAATACAAAGAACATAATGCCAACATACAAAAAGCAACATAAGTTTTTATTTAGGCAGCAGGAAAAAGAAATCCAAAGAGTAGTCATTTAGGTGTAAGGCTAAGTAACTAGCAATTTAACACACTGTAGCACTGTACTGTCCTTCCGTTTTTCATTGATTTGCTCAAATGGGCACCAGTAATGTCTGCATTGTGAGACTTGTTACTGTTTTTGGCATACCAAATATGCCACGGGGAGCTTGCCAGGCTCTGCTGTGCAGGTGGGACACTCTCCGTAGCTTGTCAGGCTGAGAGGGACAGAAGAATCAAACCCGGGTCAGCTACGTGCAAGGCAAACGCTCTACCTGCTCTAGCCCACATAATAACAACAATAAAAAATTAATCTTTTAAAAAAAATTAATAATTTTAAAACAAATATCGAAACCCAGCGGCTTTTGGCAGAAATGCGTCCGGACCTCGCAGTAGGTTACTGTCCCTGGGCCACCCCAGGGAGGAAAGGGTGTTGTCCCTCCGCCTGCTCCCCCTTGGCGGCTCAGTGGCCTTCATCCTTCAGAGAATCAAGCTGCTCAACAGCCATGATCCCAGAGACTCAGGAGCAAATCTCAAAACCCAGTGGCTTTTGGCAGAGATCCCTCCAGATTTAAGTGTTAAAATTTTGGAATTTCAAAATCACATGGTCCTACTGCAGCCACGTGACATCATATGTCATTTATAACCAACAATAGAACACATATTGTCTACTGTTGCCTTTTCAGCAGATCTGAGTGTTGGGGTAAAATTTCAAATAATAATGGTGGGTCTGGTGTCGAAATATTGAATGTGATCAAAGTAGAGAGAGAGTAATGTGGAAATCATTTGCCCCACAGGCAGGGGGAGGGTGTGGGATGGGGGTATACTGGGGTTTTTGGTGGTGGAGAATGGGCACTGGTGAAGGTATGGGTGTTTCATTGTATGACCGAGACTTAGACCCGAAAGCTTTGTAACTGCTCTCACGGTGATTCAATAAATAAAATTATAAAAAAATGAAAAAAATAAGTAAGATGGAGTTCATGCACAATTCAATCAGCTAATCAGTGGCTGAAAAAATAGCAGTACTCCTACATTAAAAAAAAATAATCATTTTTAATTCATCTTTTGAGCAACATTTTCTTTTGGTTGGTTATTTTTTATTGTTTTTGGGAAATACTTGGCCAATACTCAGGAGTTACCTCTGGCTCTGCATTTATGCATTAATTAGACTTGGCAGTGCTAGGGAACCATATGGGATACCAGGGATTGAAACCAGCCCGGCCATGTCCAAGGCAAGTGCCTTACCCACTGTACTATGTCTCTGGTCCCTTGAGAAACATTTCTAACATGAGGAAAGCTCGTTTATACAAATTAAAAATCGTAATTGTCATTTTTAAAAATTCAGAGGCAACTGTTTTCAACAAAAATATTGCCTGAATTTTATAAAAATAAAGAAGAAAATAAAGCAAGCTACATTTGTCATTCATTGTATCCCATCAAAAGATTAAGAGTAACAACTAAGTTCACTCTATGCTCTGGCTGTAAGAGCTCCCTTACCGGTTTGATGTCTCTGTGTAAGAATCCCACAGAATGGATGCTCTCAATAGACTCCAAAATTTGTTTACCCAATCGAAGAGTAGTGCTAATGGTGAATGTGCCCCGAGATTGGCTACGGCGAAGATCTGCCAGATTTCGACCCTGTGGAAACCAAACAAAAAGCATTTCCAAATGTGATATACCAGGTTTTCAGACTGGGAAAATTTTCATTTGCCACGAAAATGTTTTGAATGATTTTACCCCAAAGACTCATATGTTAAGCTCTTTTCTTAGGATTTTACCCTAATCATAATCTTATCTGAAAAGAAATTTTCTTAAACTAATGGATGAGTACTTTAGAAAATCTAATAAGGAGTTTTTGAGCCTATTATTCTGTCACAATGTTTCCTTTTGTCAAATATCATAACAAAACACAATTTTGATTATCTTAAAAGATAACCAGAGCAACAATTTCTCATTATTACTTATTTTTTCTTTAAGTTTTCTCATAAAATGGAGCCAAAAATACATGCTTCTGTTTTTTTAAGTATTAAAAAGATTTGTCAAGTGTATAGATTATTTGACATATACTAGGTACTCAATATATTCTATTATTATAAAAATTAAATTAAACATTCTATTATAGCAGTAGATGTAAGCAAATAATATATCTAGCCTGTGCAAGATGTATACTTATCCTTACATCTAACCCCCCAAAAGCACCCTAAGCACTCTTCTCATTTTACAGATGAGAAAACTATGTCAGGCCATAAGGGTCCTTCAAGCCCTGCCAGGAGAGGGGCGATCCCTGAGCACGGAGCCAGAAGTAAGTCCTGAGCACATCCAGATGTGGACCCAAAGCAAAAAAACAAACCAATAAAAAAGCAGGATAGGGAGATGGCACGGAGGGCAGGGCAATTGCCCTAGGTTCAATCCCCATGCACCACCAGAAATAATCCCTGAATGCAGAGCCAGAGGTAAGTCCTGAACACCACCACCCCCTCACAAAAAAAGTGAGAAAACTAAATATGAAAGTCATTGTATTGATAAAGAGCCTCTAACAAAAAGATAATTCCTTATACAGAGCAATATGAAACTGGCATTGTTGAATTTACAAAGTACACTCAGGGCAGAAGATAAATCAATGGCCTGGAGTGCAGGCTCTGTGAGCGAAAGATGAAGGTTTATTCCAAGGCACTGCACACGGTTCACACAGCATATCAGGAGTGAACCTCAAGCACCGAACTGTAAGGAGTCCCTGAGCACCTTCGGGTGTAGCCCCCAAACAAAATTTAACTAATTAAATATAGGGGCTGAAGAGGCAGTACAGGAATTAAAACACGTCTGGTATGTGGCTGACTGGGGTTCAATCTCTGGCATCACATGAACCACCCCCCACCCCCCCAAGCACTGCTACGGGTGGACAAAACAGGACCCTGAGCTCCACAAGGATGGTCTGGTGACCCCAACATCACAGGTCCAAGCAGTGCAGCATTTCTGGGTCTTGAATTTAATGGCTGAGTATCACAGGTAGCCACCCCTGGGAGGCTCCAAAATAACAAAATACTACCATAAATGATATTTAAAGAATATCACTGTATCACTGTCATTCTGTTATTCATCGATTTGCTTGAGCGTAATGTCTGCATTTGTCCTAGCCCTGAGATTTTTGGCATATCGAATATGCCACGGGAGCTTGCCAGGCTCTGCCATGATAAAGAATATATATAATCAAATTCATTTCCCAATAAGCAATTCTTTAAATTTTATTTTAAGGAAAATGCAAATATATTTTATTGATAAAAATTTTAAACGTACTTAAAATGGAGAAAAATGTAATATAATGAACCCTCATACATCCTACCCCATTATCCAGAATTAACTATAACCAACTCATTACCAAATTTTTCTCATGTTACCCACATTCCTGCCAATGTGTACCATCTAACTTTCCTCACACACATATCTTCACCTACATCTTGGCATTATTTTCTTCTTTATTTCTTCTGTAATAAAAAGTACACAGGAATAAAGATGAAAATATAACCAAAGAAGCTAAAAGCAATTCTTTTATTACAAATTTGTGTTAGAAATATCAGTGCACACCACAAAACATTCTCTTGTTTTCTCCTGACTCTATGCTCAGAAATTACTCCTGGTAGGGCTCAGGGGACAATATTGGGTGTCAGGGATCAAACCTAGGTTGGCTACATACAAGCAAGTGCCTTACCCACTGTACTATTGCTCTAGCCCAATATAATTTCTTTAAAAAATATGTTAATGTAGATTTAATATATATTCTGAAAATAAAGAAATGGATATTATGAATTCATCCACTTGTTGGATGAATTATTGAGAAAAAATTATAACACTGCTCAACCCAAGTACAGCAGGCACCCATAGCACTAAATTTGGGGCTCTATATATTTCACAGAAAGGGGAATCAAGACTTAATGAAGAAATGGCTAGTTACAGTTCTGGAATATGAAATACATGGAATGAAACTGGTTCAAATGTGTACCAGGAAGTAAGGAGGATTATCAAAGACTGCTGCAATTTATTCCTCACAAAATGAGTGAGGATTCAAATGTTATGTGGTTTCTTTTTTTTTGTGGTCTCCCAAGCAGTGCAAGGGGGCCACTCCCAGTGATATGTGGCCACATATTGCTCACAGCCAACAGTGCTGGGGATCACAAAGGTTACCTAGATGGTACTCAGAGGACCATATGGTGACTAGGAACCAAACTCAAGGCCTCTGTATGCCAGACATGTATTCCAAGTATGCATCCAGGCATTCACACCATTACTTTGGTAACAGAAATGATGAAAGGCATAAATATGTTAAATCCATAAATTCAGAATTACTTTTTTAAAAAAGAAAAAGGAAACTCATTAATCTTCTTTGGAAAATACTAGGGATACAACTTACAATTCTGAAAAATGGTAAATGAAAGGAAAGAATCACGTATGTCCTATATGGCAAGTACTTTGGGATAACCTAATAATGGAGTGGGGCTGGAGTGATAGTACAAATGGTAGGGCACTTGCCTTGCATATGGCCAACATGGGTTTGATCCCTGGCACCCAACAAGGTTCTTAAGTCTGCTAACAGGAGCCCCTAAGCACAGAAGCCCCAAGTATAGTCAGGTATGGCCCAAAAAAACAACCCCTCCACACAAAAATAAACGAGCTTAAGAGATAGAGACACCAAATTCAATGTGACCCCTAGTTAAAACTAGACTCAAGCAAACCAAATATATATTTAAACACAACACACACACACACACACACATACATAAATAATGATCTAGAAAATTTGGATGTTGACTTGATATTTCATACTAATACTGAAAAAATTTTTGTATGATGTGGTTAAAAGGGAAAAAAAACCCTTTCAACTTTAAGAAATGTATATTGCTATAATTATAGGCAAAGTATGAAAGTATGACTGGGGAAAGGGTGGAGAGGGGAGAGAGAGAGAATACGCCTGAAACATGACTAGCCGTATGTTGATAATTACTGAATTGGGATGATTACATAGGCCCTCCCGTTGATCGTCGATTTGCTCGAGCGGGCCCAGTAACGTCTCCATTGGAGACTTTGTTGTTACTGTGTCTGGCATATCGAATACTCTCGGTAGCTTGCCGGGCTCTCCGAGAGGGGCAGAGGAATCGAACTCGGGTCGGCCATGTTGGCTGCTTGTAAGGCGAACGCCCTACCCGCTGTGCTATCGCTCCATTTTGTTTACCTAAATTTATGTTTACATAAATTTTCATTATTCTTTCTACTTTTTTTTCCATGATGAAAGCTTAAATATATGGCAGTCTGATGTTAGACAATCTAATATTTACTGCTAAATAAAATATATAGTTTATAACATGTATAAAATGTATACTTAGCCCCACATGTGACACGTTTAACACCAAATATACCTCTAATGACCATACATATACTAAGTATGTTCACATAAGGCCTCAATGGTAATAGGATATTAAATAAGACCTGGCCAAGAAGAAACAAAAGAAACGTCTAAAATTACTTAAACCCTAAAGATTTTAAGATCCATTTTAGTAGTAAGTATTCAGTATTTATATAAAATTATTCCTTAAAAAGATTAAGGCAGATATTACATAATAAAATCACGAACAGGAAAAGAGGAACATTAACTAAAAAGCAATAAAAAGCAATAAATTTAGGGTCTTTAAAAGAAATTAGGGAACGTTAGAGATAGCTCAATGGACTGAATACATACTTTGCATGCTAGAGGTCAAGAAGTGAACCCCAGTACTGCCTGCTCCCCTGAGCACTGAAAGGAGAAACTCCCAACACAAAGCTGGAATCAGAAATATCAGTAAGAAGCCAAGTGTGAGCATGTAAATTTAATCAAAATACATGGGAGAAACTTAAAGCTTTTCAATACGTCAAATAAGAGAGTATTCACTACAAGTTATCCTACTTTTAGTTATAGCCCAATCAAGTGAACTTTAATTGTAGGAAAAAGGGTTAATGGTGAGTTAACTTTCTTACAACAGAAAAAAACACAGCTGTGAATCTAATGGAAAGGTTTCAAGGGAATTTATTTTAGTGTGTCACAGGTCACAAAGGTCTTTATTACCTGATACAATTAGTTTCCTGAGCAATAGCACAGCGGGAAAGGAGTTTGCCTTGCATGCAGCCAACATGGCTGACTGGAGTTCAATTCCTCCACCCCTCTTGGAGAGCCCGGCAAGCTACCGAGAGTATCTCGCCCTCATGGCAAAGCCTGGCAAGCTACCCATGACGTATTTGATATGCCAAACATAGTACCAAGTCTCACAATGTTACTGGGCCTGTTCAAGCAAATCGATGAACAACAGGAGGACAGTGACAGTTTTCCTTAGTTATTCCAGACTAAGGACCATCTTTTTTCCCTGGATTGTTCAGTGTACAAATAAAATAAAAACAAGTATGTGCTGACTCACAGAGATGCTGAGACAAAAAATCTTTATCTATTTTCCCCAGTGATAAAAAACTAAAGGCAAAATTGAGGAATCTTTTCTTACTGTGTCAACATGTTATCTTTTTCAGGCTTCCACCATGTCCTAACACCCATCAAGTTAATTTCAGGCAAACCACAAACTAACTTGAGCTTCAGTTTTTTTATTTTCAAAACAGAGATAAAAAAAAATCTGTCCTATTATACTCTTCATAGGGGTATAGTGGTGATTATATAAGATGCAGGATAAATCCAGAAGAAAAATAGAAAATATCATAGAAAAGACTATTGTTATTTGCCAATGTGAAAGAAATCAGGGTCCATATTACTGATCTAAAATGGCACAGGATAGGTAGGTACTTGCCTTGTGTGTGGCTGACCTGAGTTCATAGAACTGATCCCTAAGTGCAGAGCCAAGAGTAAGGCCTGAGAACTTCCAGGTATGGCCAACAAAGAAAGCACAGAATACCTGCTTAATGAAATAAAACTAGGGGCTGGAGAGACAGTACAGAGAACAGGGTGCTTGCCTTGCGTGTATTGGGCCAGGTTCAATGCCCGGCAATCCATACATTCCCCTATCCCTATGCCCTGCGAAGAGTGATCCTGAGCACAAGGCCAGGAGTAAGCCCTAAGGAAAAAGGAAGAAAGAAAGAAAACTGCTGGCTCACTTAGTGATGAATGACATGACTTTTAAGACTATAACCTTCGATATTAATATACTTAGGTGTAAATGGAAAAAATCGGAAGGAGACAAGTAAAACCCTTTGAAAAGAAAGAATGTATGTAGCCAGGATCTGAATCACTGCTATCCAGATATGCTGAAAGAAAATAGGAAGCAAATACCCAAACTTTTTGCTGAAGAAAACCCTGAGAACTCAGGAAGTCTCTTAGCAAGGCAGAAAGGACCATGAGTGCACATGTGTGCATGTGTATGCGTGCATACATGTGTGTTATAGGGCAAGAGGTAGTGTCAGAGAGAAGATGACTTACTCAAACATACCCTCTCTAATTTTATTTTCTTTGCTGCACTACTCAACTCTACTTTCTATCTAGAGGATCAGGAACAAAGAGCTGTTAAGTGATGGAAAGATGAACATCATTTCCCCTGAATGTCAAATAATGCTTTTATTTTCAATTGGTAAATGATATTCACGGACATTAAAGACTAGAATCCCTAAGCTAATAAAGGGAAAGGGAAGTAAGAAAGACAAGGCGAGACTCACATTATAGCCAGAAATACATGTGGGAAATGAACACTGCAATGAAGACAATCAATGGAGACAAGGGTCAAATAAAACAGCTGACAAGATAAGCTTTCCATCATTGGAGAAAAATCTACGTATAGAATATTTCAATGACGTTCCATCTGTATACTATAAAACATTCTCAGCTGATGCCCACAGTGCTATTATTCTTATTCAAATCTGTTGCAGATACTTTGATTAAAACTGAAAAAAAGTTGATACATTTCAAAGTAACCTACCTGCAACTGCATGACCACATAGTTGAATCGATCGTTCCTCCCACAGCCAATAAATCTACAAACATGGTCTTTCCCTGGATAAAAGAAAAATAAAGAAAAATGTGGGAAAGGTTACACATGGTTTCTCTTCTAAAAATTAACAATAACTTAAATAAGAGTCTTTAAAATTAAAAATAATGAGCCTAGCTTAAGGATAGAAAATTTGCGAAATAGAAATTTTCTACCTACCTCAAAACCAGATCCTGCATTTTTCTTATATAGTCAAATAAATGTTTGCTGAATGAATACATTAATGAAGGAACAAAAGTATTTATTCAGGAAGGAAAAAAATAAGAGGGTCATTTCGTATCAATTTGCCGAGACCTAGACATATAAAATTACAGATGAACAATATATAAAAATTCAGGAGTATTTTAAGAATAGAAATTGAGCCAGGAGGAGAACTCCACAGGCTGGAAGGTACTTTGAAAAAGAGGAGCCCCCAGGTAAGAGTCTCAACAGCACAGAGTACTCTGAGCACCACTAGGAGTTGCCTCAAAGCACTCCCAGCTGTGACTCAAAGGTGGCTGGAGAAGGCAAGATCATCACATCAGTTCAGAAGACTAAATGAGTCACTGTCACTGTCCTCCCGTTGTTCATCGATTTGCTCGAGCGGGCCCAGTAACGTCTCCATTGGAGACTTTGTTGTTACTGTGTTTGGCATATTGAATACGTTACGGGGAGCTTGCCAGGCTCTGCCGAGCGGGCGAGATACTCTCGGTAGCTTGCCGGGCTCTCCGAGAGGGGCAGAAGAATCGAACTTGGGTCGGCCATGTTGGCTGCGTGCAAAGCAAACGCCCTACCGCTGTGCTATCGCTCCAGCCCACCACCTTAGTCTTAATTAGTGAAGGAAGAACTTCTCAGAGCTGTTTGTCTCCATTAGCCATTTAAGTTTACTATCAAAAGACAGGTTTAATGACAATGCATCATAAAACTTTTAAAAACAAAGGAAATTGTTTATGAACCCTGTTTTGGCGTGTTTTTTAAAAAGTCATTAGTGGCAGTTTTAGATTATTAGGGGCAGTTCTAGATTATTATTAGATTATTTGTTGTTACTTTTTTAGGTTTTTTTTTTCCCCTCTGGTGGGGGAGGTAATTGGGCCACACAGGTGGTGCTGAAAACGTACTTTTGGATACATATATGGGGCTAGAGACTGAACCTGGGTTAGCTCCAGGCAAGGCAAGTGCTTTAGCCACTGTACCATCTCGCCAGCCCCTTGTTTTAATTTTGGGGCAAAACCCAGTGGTGCTCAGGGCTTACTCCTGGCTCTGTACCCAGAGATTCCTCCAGGAAGTTCTTGGGGGATCACATGGGATACTAGGGGTTGAATGTGGGCAAGGCAAGTGCTCTATACACTGTACTATCTCTCCAGCCCAAAGAAAGACTTTTAGCTTGAGTTAAGTTGATAAGTAAGGTAAACCACATAAGACAAATCAAGACAAATGTTATGGTTATATGAGACAGGATAATCACCTACACTTTGACTATTTTCATATACAGCACATGCATATTCAACCAAACTTTTTTTATTAAAATTTTTTTAATAGTGAGACATCATGAGGTACAGTTGCAGACTTACACATTTTTGTGCTTGGGTTTCAATTATACAATGATCAAATACCCATCCCTCCACCAGTGCCCATTTCCCACCACCACGGATTCCAGTATCCCTCCCACCCCCCATCCCCTCCATCCCACCCTGTCTCTGTGGCAGGGCATTCCCCTCTGTTCTCTCTCTCCTTTTGGGTGTTGTGGTTTGCAAAAGAAACATTGAGTGGCAATCATGTTTGTCAACCAAACATTTAAGTACAGAGTTTAACACAGAGATGAACCCTAGAAAATAATTGCTCTGTGTATTATCAGTAGAGGTTAAGAGCTGACTTCTCAAAGACAACTGGGTCAACACCAATATGTCAGGAAAAGAAAAAACAATTCCATGGAGAAGCCTGAGAAGGAAGTGTTAAGCAAACCCAAGGAGATTTTTACTTTATATTCCCAGTGAAGAATTATGCAGAATAATCTCTAAAATCAAGGGGAGTAGGATGGATGATTCATGAAGAAAATGTTAATAATTTAAAATAAGATACTGGGAAGATGGTTCAAAGGACACATGCCTGGCATACACTGGCACCAAATCTGACCCCAAGAACCTCCAGTCCCCAGAGCACTGCAAGGTTCCCAGCAGTAGGTTGCTGTCTCAGAGGACTGAACCATTCACCAAGCACTACAGGCCCAGTACTGCCAGGAGTGGCTCCAGGCCCTCCTGAGTACTGCTTGGGAGCCCCCTCCCCTAGTATCAAGATAAATGCCAAAAAGACAGTGACCCAGATTGTCAAAATAGAAGATAGGAAGTGGTATCTAATTTAACTGTCATTCAGTTCAAGTTGCTTACAAGCGGTAAGCAATCTTGAAAATATGCAGTATACAAGCTCATGTCTAGTTGGCGAAAAAACCTGAATAGCTCTAAACTATGCACTAATCTGTTCACGATGCATTTATAAAAATTGTGTTAACAGGGGGTATGGTGCCGCCAGCAGGTCAATCTGTACCTGTGAGGTGAGTGCATCAGCAGCCTCATGGCACCTTCAGACTTCCAGATACCCCAAAATTGCTGCTGTGCCTTTGGCCAGACCCCAAAAACTTGGGGTAAAGTTTACCAAGAAAGTAAACGGCCAAAAGTTAGGTATGTGGGAGACACACCCACAAACCACCTCCAGCTCAGCTATATAATTGGAGGCACGGCCCTTGTGGTTCCTGATTGGACTGCTTAACGGCCATGATCCCAGAGACTCAGAAACAATCTTGAAACCCAGCGGCTTTTGGCAGAAATGCGTCCAGAATGCACAGTGGGTTACTGTTGCCGGGCCACCCCGGGTGGAAAGGGTGCTGTCCCTCTGCCTGCTCCCCCTTGGTGGTTCGGTGGCTGCCATCCTCCAGAGGCCATTGGACATTCAGGTTTGGGCCTGCAGACATAAGACACGCGGGGCCTCACGGGATGGGGTGGAGCCGGCCCTTTCCTCCCCACCACCCCCAAAATAAAAAATTAAGTCGACCCCACGAAAGGCCTCTCTGGCTCCTGATCAAGCTGCTTAACGGCCAGGATCCCAGAGACTCAGAAACAAATCCCGGAACCCAGCAGGTTTTGGCAGAAATCCCTCCAGATTTAATTGTTAAAATTTTGGAATTTCAAAATCGCGCAGCCACTACTGCAGCTGCGTGATCTCATATATTATTCATAACCAGCAATAGAAAACAAATTATCTACTGTTGCCTTTTTGGCAGATCTGAGTTTTGGGGTAAAATCCCAAATAATAATCGTGGGTCTGGTGTCAAAATATTGAATGTAATCAAAGTAGAGAGAGAATAATGTGGAAGTCGTCTGCCCCACGGGTAGGGGGAGAGTGTGGTATGGGGGCATACTGGGGTTTTGGGGGGGTGGAGAATGGGCACTGGTGAAGGTACGGGTGTTTCATTGTATGACCGAGACTTAAACCCAAAAGCTTTGTAACTGCTCTCACGGTGATTCAATAAATAAAATTATAAAAAAGGGGGGAAAAAAAGTAAGGCGGAGTTCATGCCCAATTCAATCAGCCTAATTAGTGGCTGAATAAATAGCAGTACTCTTACATAAAAAAAATTGTGTTATCAAGTTTAGATCAGACAAGATCGGCCATGTATAGCTCAGCGGTAGGGTGTTTGCCTTGTGTGCAGTCAGCCTGGCCGAGCCGGGTTCAATTCCTCTGCCCCTCTTGGAGAGTACGGCAGGCTACCAAGAGTATCTCGCCTGCACGGCAAAGCCTGGCAAGCTACCCGTGACATATTCAATATGCCAAACACAGTAACAAGTCTCAAAATGGAGACGTTACTGGGCCCGCTCGAGCAAATCGATGAACAACGGGAGGACAGTGTTTGTTTTGTTTTTTTTTTATCAAGTTTAAGCTCACTAGAAGAGGTATAGAAATAGGACAGAAATAGCTCAGTCTCTCAGTAAATCATTTTCAAAATAATCTTAACAGCACCCTACATTACGACTATGCTCTTCTATAGAAATAATACCCAAATACAGGCCAAACTTAATCACATTCCTACCTGTTTAACTTCTTACAGCTCTCATAGCAAATGTCACATAAATGTGTCATAATATAACAGATACATGAATTCCATTTCACTCAAGGATAAGGACTCTAGTACCAAGTTCTGCACAGGAGACATACACTAAGTGAACATGTAAATAACTGGAGGGTTTGAGAGGAGGGTTTTTTGGAGGGGGGTCAGGATCCTACCCAGCAGTGCTCAGAGCTTACTTCCTGGCTCTGTGCTCAAGGATCACTCCTGGTGGTGCCCATGGGACCATATATGATGCGAGCACCTTACCCACTGTTCTCTCTGTGGCCTCAAACAAATAAGTTTATAACAGTCTTATTGAAATGTTAACAACACAATGCTTTTTCAAATAGTCCAAAACTTGTACAACTACCACAATTAATAAAAGAACCTTTCAAAAATTGGGACATTATAATAAATAGCAGTACTCCTACAAAAAAAAATTGGGACATTAGGGCCGGAGAGATAATGTAGTGAGTAGGGCACTTGCCTTGCGTGTGGGTGACCGTGCTCCATCCCCAGCATCTTATATGGTCCCCCGAGTCCCACCAGGAGTGATTCCTGAGTTCAGAGCTAGGAGTAACCCCTGAACATCACTGGGTGTGGCCCCCAAACAACAACAACAACAACAAAAACAAAATTAGAACAGCAGAACAGCAGACCCTTCCTGAACCTACCAAAACCAAACCCATTAGCAGTCACTTACCCTCCTACCATGGTTCTAACTCTTCCAGTTCTATGAGACCATTAAATTCGTTTCTAACATTACGGGTTAAGACTATTTTGAGATTTCATATAAAAGTAACCATAAATTAAGTGGTCGTTTATGGCTGGTTCCTTTTGTGTTTATTATTTTGTTTTGGAGGGCCACTCCCAGCTGTACTCAGGGCTTACTCCTGGTGTGGCGTAGGGGACCATTATGTGGTTCTA